TTAAATTGTAACAATTGGATAAGGATTAAGAAATGCAAGCAATGGAGAGAGTGCAAGAAGAAAGTACAAGCTTTTCCAAAATAAAGATTGCCCAAGTTCTCTTGTATTGTACCACAAATGTGAAAAAAACTTGGGATAATAATTGTGTCTTTGGTTTTACAATGAAAACCATTGAAACCATGGTTTACAGTGATCTGATATCATTAGTCTATAAGAAATATTCATGCACAAGTTTGTCTTATCCTAATTCAATGAATTTGAGGCAGCTATTCAATTTTGTAGCTCAGAAATTATAATAAAATTATTCACAGGCTTGATAGTTCAATTTCATCCTTGTCGAGTCCCGTTATTTAAATAACAATTAAGTTTCAATTAGACTAGGTATGGTGGCCGGTGCTTTTTCAACATGTTAAGAACAAGGAATGTTTGTGTAAGAGACAAGTGAGAGATATCAACAGTGAAATATAATGTTCTATTATGGTAAGCATTCAATTGACCGTTCGATGGTCGAACCTTTGGAATAACAGAGTTGATCAATGCCATAGTTTCATCCAATTAATTTCTTTGCTAGCAATTTGTTCTTAATTCTTATATGTCAGCTGGCAGAACTGGATCCATAGTATGCAAGAAGAAGAATGTCAAGTCATTGAGGAACTCAATTCAAATATACAGAAAGAAATTTGTATGGTACCTGCTAAAGGCTTAGCACGAGAAGATGCAACAGCCAATCCTGGAATCAATGTCTTGTCGTCAATTTCAATACCCAATAAATCCAGATCCAGCCCGGCTCCGAAAACAAAACTTTTCTCTAGAGATGACACCTCCTCTCGAACAGCTTAAAAATAGTCACTGTAAGTTAGAGAGCAATAGTCTCGGAAGTAATCCAAGTATTCACACGTGTCGAATCAAGTAGCTATGAGTCAAATTTAGACTACTGTCCTAGAAGTATGAAGTTTGATGCTGGATGGAGATGAAAAACTAGTATACAGCTTCTCCCTCTGTACCTGAGTAAGGCAACTGGACGAATGCCCATCTTTCCCCAAAAAGGTTTTCTGGAAGCTCCATTGGAAAAGGGTTATCTAGTGCCAGAAGAGGCTTCGATCCCTTTTGAAATCCAGGATGACGCGAATATACAGTTTCATAACGCTCCTCAAGCCATAGAAGTAATGATAGGCACTGAAACAGTTGAGATGAACCGTATAAAATTATTTGCTGGGCTACTTCTGACCAGGATATGATATTTGAACACAGTGTGAGTGACTAAATATCATATGCAATCACATGGCACTGCTGTTTCCTCATCGTACACAAATAAGTGGAAGAATCATTTCAACCTAAAAATCAAGATGCACCATCTTGACCTTGTTAGCAGTTCCAGAAAAGATATAAAGAGAATAGCAATCTTATTCATCCTTAAAGTTGTCATTTTCAACCCAAAAAAGTATGATTCAAGATTCCTCTTGCAACATTTAGAAATCGTGTGCTGTCAAATTCTCATTGCTTCAGGATTAAATTTAAAATGCTTGAAATTATGGAGTCTCCCTCCAGCTAAATATGCGAAACTAACATGGTTATTGAGATGGCTCTTTTTGACGCAACATATAAGATTTCTAACCTAGAACTTAAAAAGTTCGGCTCATCACTAACAGTTATTTGGATTCCATCAAGTATAAATTAGATGGATCGAAATATAAAATTGCTCCTTTACAAAACTATTGTTTATTTTTATCTCTTGTTCTCATTGTTTTTTATACAACACGGAAACCGAGATCAATACCCTGTGCGCGTGAAGCATTTGAGCTGAGAATAGAGTCGAGTCATGAGTGGCATTTTAATATGCTTCAGCTTAGTTGATACTAAATCCAAAGTTTGTTATTGATTTCCCTCGCCATTGGTAAACTACAGACTTGTCTGCATTCTGCATTATTTGACTACAGCATTTAAATGTTTATGCCTATGACTTAAAATTTTTAAGTTTGTTCACAATAGTCAAGTGATTAAATTCAATGCATACTAAAAAAACATCCCTTCACAAATTAATAAAAGTACACAAACATTTCCATGTTCCTAGACATGTGAAATCCAATATCAACACCTTCACGTGAGCGGCAAGTTCAGCCTTTTATTCAAGCTTTAACAGATCATCAGATTTCAGATTGTGTAGGTTTCAAGTTAGATACGGTGCCTATCTATCATCAAATCAAAGTAACTAAATTGAAAAGACATCCAGGTTTTGAGCCTCAGTAATAATAATGAGATCTTACCCACCCGCTTACTAGGAATAGGTGTTATTCCAAGCTCCTTACATGCTTTTGTAATTATTGTTTGCATCTGTGACCTACAAGGCAACAAAACATTGTCGTCAACTTTCCTTACTTAAAGTCTAAAGATTTACCCGTACAAAATGTGTGTGTGTGTGTGTAAATTTGGGTATCATGTGCTTCCAGCAACTGGCGCTCTTAGCTTTTTACTTACCTTAGCTAAGTCTTTGGGGGTCAAACAAGGCATATTTTACAATATATACACAAAGTTACCACGAATTTGCCAAGAAATTTGCAAATTAACATAGAAATACCTGAAGAAGCGGATTTTTTCAGGTAAGGGAGCGCCCAACTCCTCGCAAATAGTAACAATGGCATCCTTCAAAGTGATACTGTTGATAACATTATTTGGAAAATACTTTGTGTACTGCAGAGCCAGCGAATTGTTACACACAAGTAGTTCCCACACCTTCTTGCCTCTAACATCAAGAATGGGTCTAGAGCAAAAGTCCAATTCCCACTCTGTTATACTCTGCGGCTCCGTTTCTGGGTCGAGGTAGCTCAATTCCACAGTCGGGTCGTCTTCTTCTAGGTCATCGAGAACACCTTCTTCTTCCTGGGTGGACAGGGAGCTCTCGGAGACCGAGTTGGGTCGAAAATGGCGCAGTTTTGGGTGGGTTCTAGTGTTATTCGATGGAATAATACATGGGATTCTGGTGGGTTTTGCTGGCGAAGTGAGAATAGAGATGGAATTGCGATGTTTGAAAGTTGAAGTAGTTCTGATTCTGGTGGGGTTGAAGCTCACAGTTGCCATGGCTGCTTCTATCGGTAACTGATGGGAAGAACTAGCGAGACGGGTTGAGGAAGGGGGAGTTATCCTCTACCACATGTTTCCGTTACCGATAACGAGCCAAAGGAATACCGTTTTTGTTGTTACTAAAATCTTGCTCGGCTTTAAATATGTGTTTGGATAGAAACCAAACCATAGTTTCAGAAGTGTTTTTACAAATTACGAAATAAATATGTAGAGGAGATTATCTCATTTTACGAAAAAGTGCTTCTGAAACCACGGTTTTGGGATACCCAAACAGACTCTAAGTAAAACCGAAACATGGTTTGTAAAATTTGAGGTTCGAAAGTCAAACCAAGCTACTAAAAATCAAATCGAGCGACGAACAAGCTCAGGCACTAATTTAAGGGGTGTTGTAGCAAGCAAATTCATAATTTGGGATACAAAAGCCTAGTTTGAAAATCCAACCATTTAAACATACTAATTTTTTTTTCCAAAGTCGCTTTTTCATTTAAAATTATGATTTTAAAAAAAAAAGCCCAACACCATAATTTCATGCAAAATCACTTTTGAATTGAAAATTATGGTTTGGGGTATAAACAACCATCCAAACATTTCACTTTATCAAAATTATTTTTTATGAAATTTATTTTTAAAATCTGTTTTTCTAAAATCTATCTACAAAACTTATTAAAATTTATTTTTCAGAAATTATTTTTCAAACTATAATTTGGTTTCACCCAAATACCCCTAAAGATAGATTAAGTAATAATAAAAAAATATAACAATTGTTATAAAAAAAAACGTGTTTGCAACAATTTTATTGTAGCAGTTGAAAAAACCGTTCCAATTTATTTTGTAGCTGTTTTCGGGTAATTAATATAAATAATTTGAAAAATAATAATAAATTTGAAAGGCAAATTAGATCAATGTTTTATATTTTGAATTAAAAATACATTTAATTAGCTCTTATATTTAAAATTGGAGGAATGATTTTTATTAATCAAAATTACCATTTTCATTTTATCCTCTTTATTTTTGTGCCTTATTAATAGGAAATATGTGTTCCACGCATATCCCATACCTTTCCAAACCTGTCATGTAGCCGTTGTGTATTAGCCACCACAAGCAAATGGTAAAGGAAGTCAATGTGCAAATTCATGAGTGGATCCACAAGGGCCATAAGTTGGCAAAAGTGACAAAGAAGATGTAAGTAAAATGACATATAAGGATCCTAACCAAGTTAAAATGACAAGAAGAAAAATAACCCTTGAGAGACTTTCTTTAGAAACTAAGAGACTTAGTCCTTCATTATTCTTAATTTATTTTGCATGTTCTTTCATAATTGTCTCTTCTACTATTTTATAATTAAATTTAATTAAAAAAATCATACTAGGAGGGATGGATTGAATAGAAGGGACTAATCATTTATAACATGAACAACCAAAATTTGAATCCTTCACATTTATAAAAATATTTAATGAAAAATAAACTAGAAAAAATTTAATTATAAAATTTTAAAATTCAGGATAATTAATGTGTTTATATGTTTCTTAAAGGTAAATTACATGTAATATCCTAATCTTATTTTTCAATGCATCTACCATTCCAATCTTTTTTTTTTATATATATCAAGCACCCTAAAAATTGAGGTACTAGATGTAACTAAAAAAAAAAAACAGGCTGGATCCTATACACTGAGAAAATAAGATTGGAGTACTAAATACACCATATAAAAAATCAGACTGCTAGATAGACTTGTCCTTTTGGTTTTTGCCCTTTTTTTTTTTTTATAAGTTTTCTGGCCTGAACTTTTACCCTTTCTTAAATGTCATTTTTCCAAAGTAAGAGAACTGAAGAGAGAGCCAAGGACTCATGGGTCATTTAGTCCATCCCCATTCCCGCTGATAAGGCAAACATAAAAACTTGGCCTTCGCTTGGCGGCTCAGCTCCGACAATCTGTGAACGCCGAGATCCGGCGCGAAGGCCGAGGAAGAATCGGACTCTTGTCGCTGTTCTCTTTATCCAAGTAAATTTTAAAATGCTCTTTGATATAATCTCATGCGAAAAGTTTCTGTAAATTTTTTGCCTGCTTGTTTACTGTTTGATAAAATGCCTCGAGTACTTCCTTTCTCGAAGCGGGAAAAACTATGTTCATGGTTTATAACTGGTTCTGCAAGTTTGAAACTTGTTACAGTACTGGTAATTGAATCTTCGGTTTTGTCGCCATAATTGGAGTCTGCAAGCATTTTTCTTAAAATTCATTTTGTAATTGGTGTGTAATATTTTATGCTGTTACAACTTTACATGTAATCTCCCTTAAGTTCATGCAGTTGGGATTTTGTGATGTAAATTTTTTTCCCCATATACTTGCATGGTCACGCCAATTGTTATATTACAGTGTAAGAAATGGTTTTATTTGATGGATAGGTGCCTGAAGGAGCAGACTATGGTTTGCTAAAAGGAATGATGAAGTTTGCAGGATATTCCCTGGCAGTTTCATCTACTCCTATAGGTTCTAATATCATTAAAAACCGTTGCAGATTGTCAGTAGGTACATCTCGTTGGAAATTCCACAGTTCAAGGTTCTTTTCTGCTAATACACAGAACGAAAAGTCACATGGTAAATCCATGATGGTTGCCAAATACTACCTTCCTCCTTGGTTTAGGTGTGTATGTGTGCTTCTGTTTTGTCTTTTCTCCATCTGCATGAGCTAATTTGTTGATTTTATCTACCTGCTCTGGTCTTGTTTTTGGTTGCTTGTATTCCAGTGTTGCCCCAATGATGGACTGGACAGACCATCACTATAGGACTCTTGCACGCCTCATATCAAAACGTGCTTGGTTGTACACGGAAATGCTTGCAGCTGAAACAATTGTTTATCAGAACGGCAACCTGGTAGACTTTTTAATAGCCGTGTAATTATTCATACTTAAAACAAAACCATAAATGAATTGGGGAGAATTACATGAAAGGAATCTTTTACATGTTTGTAGTATCCTTTGAGTTGACAATGGTATAATGTATGATATGTACAAATTGACTCTTTTTAGACAACCCAATTATTCGTCTCTTAGAAGTGGTGAGTGCATAAGATCACAAATAAATGGGATTGACATTGCCAGCATCATTCTAGTTAAATTGATACTTCAAAATCATTGATTCTTTTGTTTTGTCTATTCTGCTCAGGACAGATTCTTGGCATATTCTCCAGATCAACATCCTATTGTGCTTCAAATTGGAGGGAGTAATTTGGAAAATTTGGCAAGAGCAACCGAACTTGCAAATTCTTACAACTATGATGAGATCAATTTTAAGTCCGTATACTTTCTATAACCTTTATTTTGAAAGTTTCATGTGCTTATGTTTGACTGAGACACCTTGTCGTATGTCAGTTGTGGATGCCCTAGTCCAAGAGTAGCTGGGCATGGGTGCTTTGGTGTGCGTCTTATGCTTGATCCAAAGGTTAGGAAGCCACCTAAATGCATATCCTGCTAACAGATTAAATATCCAATTTTCCTTTGAGCATGTGCATTAACGTAGACATTTACTGTGTACAAGGAAAGTTTGTTGCTGAGGCCATGTCAGTCATTGCTGCCAACACAAATGTGCCTGTCAGTGTCAAATGTCGAATAGGTGTTGATGATCATGATTCTTACAATGAGCTGTGTAAGGTCCTTCTCTGAGCATTCTGTCTATTCAAGTTGAAAGCGGGAAAATTAGGATTTTATGAATGGGATTCATTTTCCCCTTCAAGAAGTGGATCTAAAAATCATATTGTAGATCTACAGCAGATTTATGTTATTATGATTGCAATATTTTTCTTTCCTCGTCTCTTGGCTGCTTATATTGTCCTGGGTTCATTTTCTTCAGCATGATGAAAGCTTTTGTAATGGTATTTTATTGTCTTAAACCTTAATATATGCCTATTGGACATTGTCATTTATGTGAATTAGAATGGGTTATCTTAAGTTCTAATTTCTTTTAGGATATTATGCTATTATTTTTGGGTTTGAATACTGAACTTCTTGGCATCGCTATTATTGCCCATCAGGTGATTTCATATACAAGGTTTCTTCCATGTCACCCACTAAGCATTTCATAATACACTCAAGGAAGGCACTGCTCAATGGCATTAGCCCTGCTGAAAATCGGAGTATTCCCCCCTTGAAGTATGTGATAGTAAAATTTGATTTTTGTTGTCATATTATATTGTATATAAAATTGCAGATGATTTTTCATTTTTTATGCAGATATGAATATTTTTATGGTCTACTACGCGACTTTCCGGACTTAACATTTACCATAAATGGTGGCATTACTAGTGTTCATGAGGTGAGCTGCGGTCATTGTGATCCGTCTCTGTCATGACCTGCATTTTCATGAAGGAACCCCTCCTTAAAAAAAAAAAAAAAACCAAAAAAAAAAAAAAAAAAAAGGAAAAAAGGGAGGATACTCTACTGTTAAAATCATGACTAAAATTTCAGACTGCTTATTCTGTATTTATGTGAAAAGAAAATCAAAATCGTCAAAACCTGTTTTTATTATTTTAACAGTGGGTATATTTGATGTACTGTTTGTATGTACAAATTTTGCTGTATTTGAATAATGAGTTCATTTCGGGCCAAGAAGGGAAAAAACAGAGTTAGCTATCTAGATATAGCACGTGCCTGTGTACCTTTGGGTCTGTGCCATTGGACAGGAGTGGGGGTTGGTTTTCTTTTCTCCCTTTGGTTCTTGTATTCCTCTTGTTTTTGATTGGTTGTTCGGGTGTGACTGATTGAGAGGAATCTTCCAAAATTCTACTCTGAGCTGGTCACCTTTCTAATATCGTCCTAGTTGTTGTATCAATGTTATTGCTTTCATTTCAAGTAACTATAATGATGGATAATTTATCCAACCTCTGAAATTGACCGCTGCTTTTGGTACTGATAATCTCTTGTGAGTTTTGAAAAATCAATTGGTTCCTTGATTAAGATTTTAGTTGATACGATTCTTGGTTCTGGTGTATACTTTAGATGCTTGTTTCCTGCCAAAGTGATTGGATTACTGTTTAATTATATGTGGTCAATGCATAATCCGTTTTATACTGTTGGAAGGAATTGGCCGCATGGCTTGCTTCGTGTTTTGATTGTTAATCTTATACGAATCCGAGCCCAAAGTCTCACAAAAGTATAGATGAAGTGTAAGCCACTAGGTGTGATTGTGGTCTGGGGTTTGTATAGTTAGGAAGATATTTTAGCTTTAAATCCTTATTTTATCATGCATCTGCCAAAATTTATTTTATTATTCTTTTTTTCAAAAAAAAGCAGTGAGAGAGAGACCTGAAACCTGGTTCATGATAGTAGGTCATTTGGGACTTAACTAGAAGGTCCCTCTGAATTTAACTTCGAACTGTCAACATATGAAAGCCAGCTTCTTTGTGTTTGTCATAATATAAACATTCTTCTTTGTGACATTGACCTGTGGTTATCATGCCTAAATTTTAAGTGAAAAAGTGCCATGAATACGTTGATATTTCTGATGCTAATGTCGTTTAATCTAAAGTCTCTTTTACTCCCTTTTTGGCTTTTGAGATAAGTTGGAGTTTATCTAGAAGTAATGCATGTAAAAGCATTATCTTGCATTGAAGCTGCTTTCCCATAATTGACACATTTATTTGGTCCTGTGATTATTGTGATTATTGCTTGTTCACATAGGTCAATGAAGCTCGAAGAGCTGGAGCTCATGGTGTTATGGTTGGACGTGCAGCATACAATAAGTATATATAGTGTTTGATACAAAATTTTTAACTTGTTTGAAGTTTAACTTCCAAAAATGTTTTTATTTACAAATGTCAGGAATCTGTCTTTTAAGCAACTAAAACTGAAATTTCTCTTACCATATTTGCTGCACGCATATGTCGTCATTAAAAGAAATATAAGGTTAAAAGTGAGAGAATATTGTGCATCTACCTTAATATCTCAAATAATGTAAGGAAATAATGCCCCATGGTTTAACCTTTCAACAAGTAGATATATGTTTTCTGGATGTTTCTTTTTGGGGTAATACATATACTAATTATTTTTGGTGATAGTCATTCCTGATTGTTCATATTTTCACTTTTTGATTATATTCTTAATGTTGGTTCCATATATGTTGATACAATTACTGATCATCTCAACAGCCCTTGGCAAATTTTGGGACACGTTGATACTGCTATTTATGGTGAACCAAGCAGTGGTCTTACACGTCGTCAGGTTCAGTTATAAAATTTTGGATTTGGATTGATTCATCTGCAGTCCTGAATTAATCTCTGAGCTAATTAGAGTTCATCTTTTGCCATCATAAAGGTCCTTGAGAAATATCAAGTGTATGGGGACTCAGTGTTGGGAATGTATGGACGTAAGCCAAATGTGCGAGATATAATGAAGGTACGGTTAAATGCGGTACCTTTGCTATTCATGGAAGTTCCTGCGTAGCATGATATTAACACCCATACCTAACATGTTATGAAGCTGTATTCTTTTAAACAAAAAGGGAATATACTGTTAGTTATAATTTTGACTTTAAATAATTATGTGTAGTTCCTTGTTTTCTTTTGTTCTTGGTTCTTCCGGTTCAGTACTGGCACTCATTAAAATGGTTCTCATTCTCTACTAGGGGTTAAAGATTAAACAGCATTATAATTTTTTTCCCATTTCCTTTCATCTGCTTATAACATGTTATGTGTTACAGAGATCATTAATGATGATACCCCAAAAAAAAAAAAAAGTCAGAGATCATTAGTGATATTTAACTGTTTGCCTCCAATATACTAGTTTCTTCTACCCGATAATACCATCTTACTTTGATGCAGCCCTTGCTTAATTTTTTCCACTCAGAGCCAGGTAATGGACTTTGGAAGCGCAAAGCAGATGCTGCATTCCAAGATTGCACAGTATGGTTACCTTAACAAAGTCTAATTGGCAAACTTGTGTTTTTAGCGTCTTAATTTTATTTTATTTGAATATGTTTGTTTGACTGTAAAACTTCACTCTGACTTCTCCTTTTCTCCACTGTTAACATTATTGGCAGAGAGTGCTTGCATAGCACCAACATGGCTTGATACTTAGCATTGATTGCTCTGCCAAATTTGCATCCCCGTACAAAATGCCCCATGTCAAAGAGAGGGAAATAATATCTGAATCATCCTAAAATCTAAAGGAACCTAGGATCTTTTCACTTCCTTCATCCTGTTTCATGCCGTTCTTCTGAACTTTCCTCTTTCTATAGAAAAGATAGGGACGGGGGGAGAGTATCCCTTGAACTACTTGATTAGTGCAGGGAATGAGTAATCGCTACAGAAATATCTGTACCATGATATGTGTATTCTTTTGGAAGTTAGGGATGTCCACGCATTGAAATAGTTATCTGAACTAATCAAGTCTCTTCCTTCTTTTACTTAAACATATAAAATGCACACAGAGTAGTTTATCTATCTGAACCGGTTAGTTCAAGATCTTGTTTTAGAGATACTGTAAGTAAACAGTTTGTAGCCTTATTTTGACCCAAAAAAAAAAAAAAAATATTACATCACAATACCACTTTGGTCAATGTGAATGTTCTTTGTGCTTCAGTTATTCCATCAAATTCGTAAAATAATGAACTTTTGTTGGTCTCGTACGTGCAGACAATCAAATCATTTTTAGAAGAGACCCTTGTAGCAATTCCTGACTCAGTCTTGGATTCACCTATTGGGGAGCTACGACCTGGTGGCACAGATCTTTTTGCCGACATAGAAAGTATACTGCCTCCTCCATACACAAGAACAAGAGAAGATGATGTTATATATGCTTGAGTTTTGCATGTATTCTTTAAATCGAGGTCTTTTAGTTATATTGTTATTATTCCCTTGTATTATTTGGTCTCATGTATTCTTCAAATTCATTTTTGGGAGGGAAAGTGGTGGGTCTAGTGTAATTCAGTACGTTAAAATATTAATGCTTAAATTAGCTGCTTCTTGCAAACGATTGGCTTTTGAAATTAATTTATTCATTGTAGAGACATTAAGCAAAAGATGGAATTTGCTATGGTTGATTTTGCTGCCATTTTGTGGATATTAATTTGCTTTAACATCCATATTATGACTCAATATTCAATATGATCGTTTTTAAGGAAAAAGACAACAAAATACCCTCAAATTTACTAAATGATAAATTAGGGTAGGTGAATTTTAAAATCCCAATTCAGGACCCAGGTATCCTTTTGGAATTTTCAAATCTTGTAAAATGACAACATTATCCTTACTGTCGGTGCATACTTCCATATAGCTATTGACTATTCTACTTTAACTATTGACTACTTTTGTTTTCAAAGTTCCGGTGACTACTTTTATATAGTTATTGACTACACAAGAGTAGTAAATTACATTACTAGAGTAGTCAGTCGCTTAATAAGAGTAGTCATCAGAGTTTAAAAGTAAACGTAGTCCATGGCTAAAAAAAAAGTAGTCAATACATAAGAAAAAGTAGTCGCTGGAGCTCTAGTGGTTGGTCACTGACAGGGTCACCGGCGTCAGAGCTCCGATGGCCGGAATTGCTGAGATGGCAGTATTTAGAAAAAAAAAAAGGGTTAAAAAATAGTAAAGGATATTTGTGTAATTTTACAAGATTTCAAAATTTCAAAAAGTACCTAGGGTCTAAATTGGCATTTTGAAATTCATATACCTTTATTTGTCATTTAGTAATTTTGAGGGTATTTTAGTGTCTTTTTTTTTTTTTTTTTTTATCTTTTTGTGTTTTTTTTTTGTTTTGGGGGGGGGGGGGGGGAGTAATTATGTGTGTGTACATTGACACTCGTATTCTAAAATTTTAAAAAGGGGTATCTTTGATATCATATTTTGTCATTTGATATGTGTACTCATCAGGGTGAGAGGTGACTCAAGCAGAATTAGTTTGGCAACTGAAATGAGAAGGATAAATAATGAAAATAAATAAAACAGGACAATATCCATTATTAACTAATAAATATAATAAATAATAAATATTTGTATAAGAATTTTTATTTGGAGGTAGGCAAGTCACGTTTTGACTTTTTTATCATATTCTGTCTCGCCAGATTTGTAACGTTTAGCTGAGTAAATAACTTATTTCTTAAATTATTAGACCTCATTACATTTGGATTACTTATTCGTTAAAATGTTATATATATAGTACAGAATGCTAAATATTAATTTCATAATCAATGAATTTTTGGCAAAATTAAATGGCAGTAGCTTGATCAGTTGATTGTATGCTACTAAATGATAGAAAACAAAGAGTAAATAATAAATTAAGTTTCACGTAATGGCATGTTAAATAAAATATATACATTAACAAAGACAAAAGCAAGTGAAAATTAAAAATAGGGTAAATAGATATGTTGCATGGGATGTTTGAATTAACTTTTTAGAAGTTATGGAGTATGAGGTAAGTCTATGTATAAGAGGAGTTTTGACTAAGAGCATTCATGGAATGGTACGTGATCAGGATGATGCGTCTTATCTCCTGTCTCGTCCCGAAGCTATCTCAGTTCCAATCAGGATGGGACAAGGTTGAGACATTCTAAGGGATTTTTTAAAACATTTCAATGAAAAAATCATATCGCCATTTAGATTTTAAATTCTTTTGTATCAAAAGTAATTAACTAAAATTCTATTCCCTTCCAATTAAAGTTTTAAATATCTAAATAACATGTCATTAAATAATAGTAATGAATATTTGATTTAACTAGCAAAATAATTGTACTATTTTTAGTTTTCACATGTGGATATGGATTACTTGAACTTATTCTTCTTTTTCATGTTTTAAAATTTCTCAAAGTAAATGTTAGATGTGGAAGCCATTATCCTTAATTCCAATTAAGTCTAAACGTACGTTGACAAATATGCATTGTATTGATTGAAGCTTGTTTAAATTACTACCTCCGGTCCTAATTATAAGAGCTGGTTGACTAATTTGAGGAGATTAAGGAAGTACATTAGTTAGTTATTTGTCCTAAATAGGTGTTGTCTTTCTTAAAATATCCTCACTAATCAAGTGTATTGACTAGAACTATTATTGTTAGAAAGGCTACTTTGAAAAAAAAAGTATAAATATGAGAGACAAAGTGGATTGGGGTCTTATATTTAGAACCAAAATAAAAGTCAAAGAGTCTTATATGAAGGACCAGAGGTAGTACATTTTCAAAAACATTTTTTATTTTTTTAAACATCAAAGTCAAAAATTTATTCAAAGATGTAACTTCTATTTGCAAAAATAATCTATAACAAAAAAAATATATATGAATATATTTAGCTTGCCCTATTGTATTTAAAAAATAATAATAATGTCTTGTGATTTCATTGTGAAAATTTTGTTGTCAACAGCTAATGTGGGCAGTATTAATTGCTAAATTGAATCTTCAAGCTTGTCTAGCAGAATATAACAAAATGTTTTATAAGTTGAAATCTCTCCAAAGAGTTAAGTAGGATTCATTCCACAATACCGTGACTAAAAGTATAGTTTAACCATTACATATCTAATTCCTTACATTATAAAATTAAAAATAAAAATAGATAACCCATAACATGAAAATCTTCAATATACATGCATGCATACACACATATATCTTTCCAGTGAAATCACTGCTCAGAAGGAAAATTGAAAAATTCCTCTAAACATGAAAAGTTTCAACTATATTATTTAAACTGAAATTTATTTTTCAAACTTACTCATAACATAACAAACAAGATACTTTGATACACGCAGATACTTTATTCTTATTTTCCCACACCACAACATTACGTATGATCTTGATACAAAATACATGCCCATATTCCATTTATTTATTTCTTTCCTTTAATCTAATAATTCCTAACTACTTAACCCAACAAGTAAAACACCATATCATCATCACTTTCTTTTCATCGATTTCAGTAAGGTTTTTGTCCAACGATGTTGCCAGGAGGATAATAGTTGCAAGAAATGAAAGTTCCTCCATTGTAACATCTTACTTTAGCACACCCAAGACGAGTTGAGTCCTTCCAAACCACCTGAGTATAGTGCCGGCAGTTCCCACCGACACATGAGCCACTGCCGGAGTCATAGTTTGCCTTCTCGGCCACCCACAGCTTCACAGCATCCGTATCACTCATGTCGCCGGAGCTCCATGCGATGTTCTCGCCATACATCTGGCTGCCGGAGTGGATCACCTGGCAATCACCCTTGAGTTCCTTGGCATAGTTCTGGGCAAAAGCAGCCACTGTATTATCCCATCTTATGTTAGGAACGCCCACTTGTGATCTTGCTGCGTTGTGGGCCTCTACATAGTCTTGTGGTGAATTTTGAGCATAGGCTGTGATGGCAAAGAGGAAGAAGAAGAGAGAAAATGGAAGCTTGGATAATAACTCCATTATCTTGTTTTGTTATTATTGTGTGAAGTGTTTTGATGAACAAATGTGATATGAGGCAAATGTTGTGGGGCATTGGGGAGGAATTTATAAGGAGTTACAAAGAGTTTACTCCGCTGAAATTGCTAGATACAGAAGAGTTAGAATTTGAATTTATGTTTACCACAGAAAAGAAGGTAAAAGAAAAAAAAGAGTTGTTAAATTGTTAAAAATTACTGATTATGGTTGGTTAAGAAGTGGTGGAAATTTCAAAACAATCATTATGCATGGAGAACTGAGAAATCAAAACAATTTTGTTTTTTCATTAAATCATGTTAGTTAATAGATATGTATATGGTTTTTCATGAGTCAATAGACATATTTGTTGGTCTATCTTTCTTCAATTGTATAATTATTCGATTAGAAAACATATTTAATAGTATAGGAAAAATAAGCTAAAAAGATAATTGATCGTATTTAACAGGTGGTGGAAATTTCAAAATATCATAATGCGAGAAGGGCTAGGGAATTAATTACAGCAGTCTTGCTACCTGTTTATGCCGATGAGGGTGGCGTATTCCACTTGTTTATGTTATTTATAGTTATACGTATTTGTGTTATGTTCAAATAAACATTTTGCATGATTGTACATTAGTAATTAAGTAACTCTTATATAAATTATAAGAGTTTTCATAGGTCTTCAAATATTTTTTTATGAGATCAATATGTCTTCAAATCTATGTAAATACTTTGATGACGTTTTTGCGAATAAATTTTATATTAGAGTATTAAAACTTTATATCTTTTTCCCTCAGTAGTTCTTTATTTTCTTCATAATAATTACAAGTCAAATGAACATTTCACAAATGGTTTGTGAAGCATAAATTAATTGATTTTGAAATAAAATACAATTTTTCTTACGTTGATGTCTAATTTTTCCATCCAATTTCAGTAAAAACTAAAATCCAATTTACTACCATCATTATTCATTGCTTAATTTTGTCATCCTTTGAAAATATTTTTTAAAATGTTAAAAAACGAATATCACAAGCTTATAAAAAATGAATTCAATTATCAAACATAAATGAATTCAACTGACATTTCAAAAAAAAAAAAAGGAACAGAAAACAGAATAGCTCTCCTAGTAGTATATTGTTTTCTATCTACAAGATTTAAAACCTCAACATTACTAGTATTTAGTCTCTTTCACTTAACAAAACAGTTCGGATAATTCATGTGGTAGTTTCAGTGATGCTTTAAATTTGGGCTGATTAGGAAAGAAAAGTTTACCTTCCAAAAAGACAATAGGAAAGAAATTTAAAGCTAATTAATGGCTAATTACTTCATGAAAATTATATCCATTATTTATTTATTGAAAGATAATAATTGTCTGCTGTATTATTTTACTTGTTTTCAAAAGAATTAGTTCTGTAGTTACATATGAAAGAACCACTTAGGTATTTTAGCTAAAATGAAGTTTCTTTCAAACAAAAATATATATTACTCCCTTCGGTCCTAAATATAAGATCATTTTTGTAGTGTAAATTACACTACAAAAAGGGTATCATATTTAGGATCGGAGGAGTACTAAAAACTCTTGTTACCCATATATAATTAGTATTTATTTGTACTTGCCTCGTCATTTTTCTCTACTACACTGCTTACCTTTGAAAAAAAAAATCTTATAATACCTCAGCTTTTGATACATTTATAATAACTCTTTAATTTTGTTAAAAAATTAAATGGAAGAAATTAAACATTTTGAATCTGAATTCTTGTTAGAAGGATTAAACCTATCTTAGTTAAGTAAATCTCTATATAAAATGCTCTTCATTGATATGTTGAAGGTGTGAGATAGAAGAATCTCACACAAGGAAGTAATGAAAAAAGCACACAACTCAAGAGTATGAGTTACACACAATGGAAATATTTTCTCACCACTTGCAAGAATCTCTGAGAAAACAAAATAAGTACATGGTAGAAATTAAATAGAACAAGAGACATCAGAATTATTAATGTGGAAAACCTCCTAATATAAGGGTAAAAATCACGGGTCATCTAGACCAAAGAAAATCACGACTCCACTATGATCAAAACAAGGGACAAGAAAGTATCAGATGGATAAATAAGTGCATACAACCAACCATACAGCCAAAACTACAAGCTTACAAAAGAGAATGAAAAAGTTGAAAAATACCCAAACTAGAGGTTATAGAACAAACTCAATATCTCTCACACCGAACAACTAATCGACAATCCAACCATTGAAAATGACACACTAGATGTTACGAATATGCTGACCAAGTTTTAGCTTGATCCAACAGTTAACAAATCTATAGACTAAATGGCTCTCTCTCCTCTTCTCACACCAAATGGTTGTTATTCTCCCTCAATATGAGACCCCGCTTAACCCTAGTGTTCCCCCTCTCCATTTTAACTCGTGAGACTTAAATGGACTTTAAATATTAGGCCTTTCTTCCCATAGGAAGGAAGCCTAAACCCAACAGGAAGTTCACTGTGGTCTTCACTTCTCATTAATCCTGGAGTTTAAGATTAATAGTCTCAATGAAGAAAGGGCCGTTTTGTTGTAATGCTCTAAAAGATTTTAGAGCTTGTATTCATTTCATAAATATAATTCATTTTGGTTCACTTTACAATTTTATTTGGGATTAGATCAAATTAAAAAGGAGAATAATAATAGTAGTAGTAGTACTAGATATGATTTAGATTTACTTTATAGTCGAGTTTATTTACTTTATCTATTTTTCTTATTAGTCGATTTTTCAATCACTGAAAATAATCCATATAAAAAATATGCACCTAATTTAGTTCGTGCCCTATTTAAAACGTTACATAAACTTTAATAACATAGTATGAAAAGAATTTCTTCATTTGCGTACAAAATTTCTATGCGTCTCTGATTACAAATTCAAATCCAAGTTACACACAGGACTTTCTATTTTGCTTCCGTATTAGAAGACGGATAACCCAAAAGAGCATTCTTCACTCTATATTTTAGGTGTATGACTTACCAAATAAGAATTTTATCAAAAAATAACAAACAGGCCTCAAATAAGAAAATTAATTACTTTTTCAGTCTCATATACTGATCATAGTCATCATACTTTAATATTTACAAGTGGTTATGACATATGGGTAATTAATTTTCCTTTTTCTGATATTTGTAATTAATTCTCCCAGTTTTATTTTGGTTTAAATAATTTTCTTCACCACACATCAAGACCCAAAATTGAGGTGCTTTAAGTCTTAAATATGAATTTTTAAAATAGAAAATTAAAAAATCATTTAAGGGTTGAACTCACTCATATTTAAATTAGTCAGTAATATTGGATGGCAGATGATTTTATTTGTGTTATTATTTGTGTTAATTAATATATTTTATTTTTAATTAGTTTAATCCTTGTAATTTGTTAATTTTGTTTTTTTTAAATATTCCTCTTAATTAATACAATTTTCTTTAATTAATAATAAATGAAAGAGTTGTTCCTTGTAGAGATCCAGTGGGTCCAAAACACTAGGTAGATCTAATAAATGAAAGGAATATTTTGAAATTTAATACTCTCACGCCATTAAAAGGTTTGTGATACCGTTTCCATACTTTTTGGATTGAAATGTGTATATTTTAGATAATATGTACAGGAAAATGTGCTTTTTTGTTACTCATACTCAAATTTAAGGAATTATTGGTTTGAGTGTGAATATTTTGGCTTATTTAGAGTAATTGTGGATTTCACAAATGTTTCTATTGTCCATGCAGGTGAGCTCTGAGTTTGCAAGCACTCAAGTCTTGAAGGTAAGGAAAAAAGTTCGAAGCAAAGGGAGCAAGCAATTAAAAACATTTTCATTGGACTATTCACCGCAACGAACGTGCCCTTCCCTTCGCGGCAACAAACATCACAAAGCTCATAAGCTCCTTTACAAGCTTGCTTTCACTGAAAAACCCAATTTTCTTGTCATCCCAACTTTGAATAATAGTAACTTTTAAACTACACATCCAAAAATTATAAACTAACACTTGTCTTAAAATTTTAGGACGCATACTACCCTCGTTCCAAATTTCATAATCTAACTATTCAACCATTTAACACGCATAAAGTCAATCAGAAGACTGACATGTCAGGAAGCATGTAAAAACTAGCTATCTAACATAACTTCGAATTTTTGCCATGTTCCTAATCATAGTACTTGATTTTTTTTTTTTGGCTGTAGACCACCAACCACTCCTCCTTATGAAGGTATTTACATACGAAATAATAAGAAATTAACTTTAGATACCAAAAATTTATACAAATTTTTCATAAATATATTACCTAGCTAACAACAAAACATTATAAACAAATCTTCCAAGTTTCCACCTTAGCTAATTTTCCAGTAGCTTGCCCTTTCTCTTTGATGAGCTAGGTCTTAAGATTGATACATACAAGAGGGATGACATTCGAGAGAATCTCATTAGCATTAATTATGTTTCAATAAATAAAGCATGATAGAATTGAGCATATGAAACAAGTCACAGAGAAAGGCTTAAATTTTAACTTGTTTATTCTCTCTACTAAAAAATTCCTTTCTCACAATTTCATCTTTTAATTAATCCAATTCTTTTCCACTGAAACAAAGCTGACCAAACAAAGGAAAAAGAAAAATTCACGTATTCAACTCCCGTTCTCTACTGAAAATTGTAGAGAAATCTTTGGACATATTGCTCCATCCTTTATTATAAGATTTTTTGAATTAAATTACGTGATTTAAGAAAACAGTTAAAAATAGTTAAAAACAATTAATATGTAGCAAATACGGCTTTTTCCCCCTCAAATATACCCTTATATATAAATGGATAAATGTGAGAGAGTAATAATGAGATAAATAAAGAAAGAGAATGTATTAAATACAATAAATTAGGAGTAAAATAGGTAATACTGTATTAAATGTTTAGATAAACTCAAAGAAAATCTTATAAAAAGGGACAAATTCATTCAAAAAATTGAATCTTATAATAAGGGATGGAG